ACCCGGGTTTTGATTGTGCATTGACTCCGGCCTCGGCAAAGTCCCGTTGCAGCATGTAAGCTTGTGCCCGACGGTAAAGTGCCTGGCCGTGCATGAGACACACTCATTCACATAGGTGTCCTTAGAGAAATGGAGGGGCTTCCCTGGTAGATGATTAAACCACCAGGTAAACCAGGAATCGCCATCGATGTTTCCACCAAAACAACCAGTGAATCAACTGTATCTGCAGGTGGGTTCCTGAACATGTGATACTCACTGAAACAAGCGGATCATAAACAACACGGCAAGCCCTTCCTAAATGTTGACAAACACCTACGCACGCACTAACTTCCCTTGCATGTATCTATGCATGTGTATAGTGTGTGTATATATATATATATATCATATACATTGTGTATTTATGATCGTAATCAATTTCTTCACACTTGATGGGTCATGGGCTCGTGATTCAAAACGATATGACACCAAGTGTCTGAAATGCCCACTGCTCATGCCAACCCTGGCTCAGCGCATTATACTCAACTTAGCTCTACAACACACTTTGCTTGGTAAGTTCGGTCACGCAACATGGACCAGTGAACTTCAGAAGGTCAAGAACTCCGTTGGACTCTTTCTTTCAGCACCTCCGTTGGTCAGCGACTCCTTCATGCTTCCTGGAGGGGCATCGCTTTCGTTCCGGGTGTCGAGTCCAACCCAGTTTGCGTGCAAAGCACCAACATGGCAACTCACAGATGTGCTAGACACTTAGTCAAATTGTGCCATCATCCCTACTCCCCCCAACCTTCACCCTTTCACCCAGTGGCCAGGTCAATGCCCCAATCTGAGAAGCTGGGGATGCTGTTAAAGGCAGTTAGCAACCCGTGCTTGCCCAGAAACCTAGCCCAGGTGGGCAAACCAACTCAAAAAATCAACAAACAGATATCATGGAGACAACTTCAGTCGCGGTAAACATGTGGTTGACCTAATGCACGCACAGGGAACATCAGGATTCCTCCGGCTTTTGTAGTGGAAAACTCGCGAGGCCCCTGTTCCGAACCCGAAAATGAGGATAGATTACTGGATAGATTGACATACATGTCGCTCAACCAAGGATGTGCCCCTTGCTGATGCTCAAAAACAAGCTCGACCTTCGAAAGAAAACCCAACCACATTAAAGGTCGGAAAGCGCAAGTCAGCTTGGCGATGGAAATAAAAACAACTCTGCCAAACCGGGACAACGACACAAAAACCCAAACGATTTCACTTCGGCCTTGGTGTTCTCGGGCATCTGGTGCAGCACCAAGTCGCAAGCCTCCCGGGCCTGATCACCAACTCGAGGGTAACTCAGCTCGAGAAACTACCACCTACTGGGGGCCGGCCAGCGACAATTGCCTGATCAAGTTAATTAAGGGACACTTAGCAAGCACCTTCTGCGCATGGAGGGTGTACTGGATTGCTCCCGTCAACGCGCTGTCACACTGGCATTATGCACATGGTGGGCTCGAGCATGCAAACAGGGGCAAGAGGATTTCAGCCAACCGTCTCTCACGCGGAGACGGAAAAAAAAGGAAAACAACGGTAAGGGCGTATCAAACTTACATGCTCCAAGCAATTGTCCACCCGTATGCTCGAAATATGTTCTTGACACTTCCGAGGTCTTGGGTAAGCAATCCTGCACCAAAGTGCACCAATCATTCTAGGGGCTGATTCCCCATTCTTTTCAACCATCGTTCTTTTCAAAAACCAGCTGTTTCCCTGGGTTTTTGATGGTTTCCTGAAAAGAAGGATCCCTGGACAGAATGGAATTGGAAGGTACCCCTAGAATCACTCAAACCACCCCCGGAGGCGTGGCTTGCCCAAAAACTGCCGAAGACATACCAAGTCATGCTCGGCCGTTCCAAGGCTGCAGCCGCTTTGGGGTCCTCGCAGCAGAAAGGTCAATGGCTTTCTGGGGTCCAATGGCGATGAATTTCGGGATCCTTGGTGGACATCATCTCGGATTCATGTCCGGTGGTTCCCCATTCATAAAATTCATTCCCAGATTGGGACTTGGAACGGGGAAACTCTGAGGAACCAAGGACCAAACTTGCCAAAGGTGCAGCCGCAGCTCGCGCAGGTTGCACCAAGCAGTGAACTCAGGAAGTCTACCCCCTTCCCCCCCTCCGAGGCTCCCCAAGGGTTGGAGCCTAAAGCCGAAGGCCCAAAGCTTGTGCTGTTTCTGTCTGATGGAATGGTCGTTCAATCAACACATGCGCAGTTGCATGTATTGATCTGGAGCCCTCACAACCTTTTCTGTATGACCCTGTCCCAAAAAAAAAAGGATCACAAGTTGAAAAGGAGACCCTCCGTCAGATTCAGTCTCTACATCTCACACGGCCCTTGCCATTGTCCTGCTTGTGCACAAATGGGGTCCTAGGAGGCCACGGGGTATCCCTCCGACCATGAAGCTGACAGGGCGCCAAGAGGATCTCTTGACCACTTTGGCTCCACTGGCCCACTGGAAACCAGCTCGAACTCTGAAGCCAACGAAACCACCTGGATGCCCATTTAGAAACTCCATGATTTATAGCACGCACACACACACACACACACACACGGACACGCGCGGACACGCGCTCGTGTGCATACCCAAGGCGTCACAACCCTCCAGGCAGATTTCGTGCGAAAACCGCGTCCTGGAGCTTCACGCTGCAAGCGGCGCTATTCAAACGACACTCCAGCCGCAGCTTGCGACACCTCGGGAATCGAGCCGTTGCCGGTGGGGCCTTGGTGACATGTGCTAAAGGAGGCTGCCCCCCAACCCCCAAAACAAAAAAACGATCCAGTGTTGTTCCAAGCTCACTTTGATTTGAGCCCATTCGCGTTACATACATCCATGCATGTTGGAACCAACAAAATCCTTGCAACTGTACGTGATTGTTTCTCCCAAAAACATGCGTCCATGTTAAAATGCGTTCACAGGAACAAGAACGGTGCTTTCCTGGACACCGACAACTTGGCATGATGCTAAAATCGAGACCCGATGGGCTAGCTGATAGATCGAAGGACCACGATGTCTGCTGGAGTCTCGTTTGGACTAGTGCGGTGAAGGGATGACATCGAGCTCAACCACTCGCCAAATCCGCATTCGGCAATGGACACAATTGCAATGTCGCTTGCCGACATTGAAACATCGGTCCAGAAATCGGCACAAAAAGCATGTTAAAATGGGGGCGACCCCAGAAACGGTCGATTTCTCTGACGATGTCGTGTCCCTTTTGGTGCGACCCCAGAAACCGTACATGTCTTTTCGATGTTCCCTTTGATAACCAAGCAAAAGCACGACGGTACGTGGTGCCCACAAGTCTTTGAGCCCTTCTCAGGTCTGGGCTCTTGGAATAAGTCCAGCTTTCCCAGGAACCGGTCCTTGCCGCTTGTCTCAGATCCTCTCGTAGGATCTGAATCCGTGGCTGTGTGTTCGTTGCATTCAAAAGGCACTCCAAACGGAGGTGTTGTTGCCTCATTGGAGAGGCAGTCTAACGGAAAATGTGTTTTTGAGGGAAAATGATGCTGAGATTCGCTTCGAGTCAATGCAAAGTTAGAGAAAGTGGATGTAAGCGGTCAGAAGTGGTGGCTTGGATACGGCAACACAATGGGAAAATGGCTTCCCGACCCTTGAAACCCCCTCAGCTACACCAGCAATTTGTGGGGCAAGGTGTTATGGAGGGCGCGCGAACCGCGCTGACCATTTTAAGGCTGGTCATGCTGCCTCCTGAAGCAAGCAATCGGACCCAAGCAACACAAGCAAAACAAGTAGGCACAACCAATGAATTAAAGCAACTCAAAAACGATCGCAATGCCAAAGGCTCAACCAGTAGGCACAACAGATAAATACAAAAACAAGAAAACAAAGATGACAACAAGTTGCGGCACGAGAGGCCGCAAGACCCGCTTGGTTTGGCACAAGCTCAGCCGTTGGCCACCTGACTATTCCAATTGAAAGGAAGCGAGGCCCTTCGAGGATCCAGGAAGCCCATGTTGTCGCTTGGTTCAACCAAGGGCCGAAAAAAGCCGAGTGTTTGACCTGAGCAACAAGTATGTTTGCCGGGTACGGCATGGATCTTAGTTGGGAACCCTGACGTCATTTGGCTGTGGGTCAAAATGTGTAACCAACATGGCTACCTGGTAGATGGAACAAAGGGCTAAAACCTGCAGTCCCCGGGTGGCTTACATCATTTACTAGATCGACCTACTGTATGTCCCCCAACCAAGTTCAAGGGTGGAACCGGTGTTCCCCGTGAAAATATCCACGGCCAACGGCTTGCAGACAATACCCCTCTGTCAACAGGATGTGAAGCTCTCAACCAAAGCAAACAGTTTCCCGAGTTCTTGAAGTGACTCCACAAAGCTAGGCGGCTGTGCTCAAAAACCCGGTACCAAAATGGGTTGCCCTGGTAAGTAAACACGTGGACCAAAACCTGCGTAACTCCTCCTGTTTACTTTGAGCCACCCACATAGTGTACCTCTGAGCAATTCTCTACCATGTTGACAAAATCTGGTTGTTCTCCAGAAACTTATACAAAGGCCGTGTGAGCTCCAGGTGCCGCCACCCGGTATTTCACACTCGCGATGCAAGCAAACATGTCATGTGCTCTTGGGCTTGCCCGTTTTCGGCTGCGTCAAACAAGTGGCCTCTGCCTACTGCACTGCAGCCAGCCAACCAGGGTATCTCCTAACTCTGGAGGTTGTGGGCCAGAGGGATCCCTTGTTCACATACGAGCCCTGGTTCATGGGCAAGTTAAGCAACTCTTGCTTCATGGGCAAGGGGGGCCATGGCGTCATATATAGCTGTATACATTCTGGCATACTATGAAATCTAAATTACGTCTCTCCGAGTAAGTCATGGCGTTTGCCATTGCGGTCTCTGACCACTTTACACGTACTCAATCCTAGAGCGTAGAGCAAACCCGGGAAACACGACCTCCGATTGCTTACCCACTCTCCTCACTCATTCTTAGAGGAAACTCTCTTTGTGGACACGTTCATTTGCAGGGCAGTACCTCGGGGCTAATCTTGTTCCATCCAGCGCCCGTCACACCGCAGGCCTTCACTTTGGGTCGGTCCAAATGGTGAAAGAGCTCTGTGATGTCTCGATACCTGCAATGAGCGTGCCAGCCGGGGAAAGGCTATTGGGTAGTTTCCAACTTAGCAACCCAAATAATGGGTACATCATGGTGCATTCAAACGATCCCCAACAATCCCAAGTCCCGTTCTCAGCTTCCAGTTGTAAAAAGCCACATGTGCCCACACACACACACACACGCATAAACACACCGGAAATATCACACTTGTTCGGAATCTGTCTTCATGCATTGATGAAGACAGACATCGTCTAGAAGACAGTCAACTACATAGAGCCTCCTGCTCACCCCAAGGACACAGGGTTAGCCAACCACATGTGGTTTGGGTACGTTGCCAACCATGTTTCAAGGGTCAAAGGAGATTCACCAGCAAGGAAGTTGGGGAGCACTGTAATATGCACAAAATGTTTGAAGGCCACACTTCAGAGGAATGACAAACAACCTATTACAGGTAGACACATGTACATACGTGTGTATCACGTGTAGGTGCACATTTGTATGTTGTTTTGTCCAAAGAGCGAGGCGGCACTGAATGGCATGACCCCAGAAAACACGCTTAACTCACTGGTCTCACCTGGCTTGGCCTTGGGCAGTAGTAAGCAACAGTGAACTGACAATGCATATCTACCATGCACAAATATATGTGTGCAACGCGTGCATGTCTATACAAGTATATTAATCATGTTATAAAGCATATTTTCTGTGGGATGTCATCACATTTCCACAGTGAAAACTGATCCTCTCCGCATAAAACATCGATCAGCTCAGAGCAAGGGTTGTGAGCCCCTAAAATGATCTCACCTCAACCTTCCAAACCACCCCCAAGCCCAGCACCACCTCAGTGGAATTGTTTGGCCCCTAAGGCTTTGGGTTGCAACCTGTTGAACCCGTGACTTCTGGGACTACAGACCATGTTTCCATCATGAGTCAAAGTCCATGATTCCCTCCAAGACTCCCATTTTGAGCTCGGAATACTCGCTGATATGCTTGGGCGAGACGCCATGCGCATCGACCGTCTTGGCAACCCAGTCCAGCCCTGAACCCCAAACCACCAAGCCCAGCCCCACCTCAGTGGAAGTACTTGGCCCCGAAGGCTTTGGATAATGAAATCTGCTGAACCCAGAGCCGCGGTTCGCGCCTGCGCCTGGACAATCTGAAGCGGGCCTCTTTGAAGAGGCGGTTGGCTTCAGCCTGCGGAGCTTCTCATTCGCGGCGGAATTAACACACAGACACACGCCTCTGCGCTTGGTTTGCGGTGTGTGGAAATGGATGTGGAAGCTTGGCACAACTGTGGCTTACTGTTCTTGGAGAACTATAGTAATTCACCAGGAGACCTAATTAAGAAAGACGCCTTCATGGGTGAAATGGGTTGCCAGCATTCCCCTTATCGGTGAGGATGAAAGCTTTGCCTGTTCTTAAGGTGCATGTTCTATGCGTAATCGTAGAGAATCACGATGCTTTCTCTCTCACAGAGCTACAACAATCAACCCACGCGACAAACAAAAAGCATGTTTGGTCGTTTGACCATCTGCGGACGTGTTTTTTGTTTTTTGCGGGTAGCCCTTTTTGGGGCGCTCTAAAGAAAAACCGAAAGGACAACCACAACTTTGGGTGGTCAACGCAAAGGGGTAAGCAAACAAACTTAGTCCCACCCAACCAAAAAAGGGGTGAGAATGGGGAGAGTCCAGCCCGCAAGGCTCAGACAGCCAAACAGCTCAGGGCTCTGTCTGCTGTACAGTCGGGGGAGTCACACACCCATGTGAGGGATTTTTGAAGGATTTGCGTCACGGCCTTTGTCGCAGCTTTTCTCCTCGAGCCCGCAGCCCGCCTTTCGCCGAAGCGCAAAGGTGAGACGATCCTCCTCGTCGAAGGAGGCGGCCTGAGCCAGTGGATCGATCCCATTTTGCCAATCCTCCGTTGAGCTTTTAGAGGCTGCCTTGATGACAGCCAAATCATGGACGGTAAAACATGACTTTAGCGTATTGAGGGTTCTAATTGGGTGTTGGAACCAAGGGACCTGCTTAGGAGGACTAATATAGATTTGGTTTCAGCATCATGACAAGGCTTGGGCTCATTGACCCTACTTTGGACGCTGCTTCGGGTGATCCGTGTGCACCCCGGGACAAGTGATTGCACATCGCGGTTGAAGGGCGAATCGGAAGCAATCCAACAGGCTGCAAGTGACACCGGCCCAATGTTAAAAGGACCGGGGACGCAGCTTCCCTTCGTGCGTCTCTGCAAGCTAGGTCCTCCAGTAGAGAGGTTAGAATAAGGGTACCCTTCTTTCTGTAGTCTATTTTAGTAGGGGAACCCTCCCCCAAAAAAGGGGTAAAAGGGCACTACTAGGGGACCTAGCAAGGGTTCCCAAACTGCTGTGACACACAGCTGTCTATGAAAACAAGGCTTGCGCCGGCTTGAGGTAGCCAAGTCAGAACTCCTTGGGCCTTCTTGTCCTGGAGTTTCGTATTAACCAAAACCCAGTGATTCCCTGTGTTGGAAACCAAACGAGTTACCCATTTTCTACACGCAACGGGCTGGTGTCCTACGGGCAGGTCGGCTGGCCTTCCACTGGAATCTCCGCGTTTCCCTTCAAGCGGCACGCTGGTGGCGTTGGGAAAGGCAGCTATGCCAAAGTGGGGTTCGAGTCCATGTCTAGCAACTTGGGGGGGGTCGAGTTTCAGCGTAGATCTTGCAAAGCTCAAGGTGAGCGGTCGTCAAAACCTGGGGTCCGGGATGTTACATCCCACGTCTGCCTTCGTGAACCCTTTCGCGGCCTTTCGAGAATCTTGCGCACTCCGCAGTTTTTGTTTCGCAGAGCACATTGGGCCAAGAAATCCTTTCGCGGAGCTTGCGCGGACGGCTCAGCAAGCAACCCCATGTTCAAAATCGGCCTGTCGCGGCCCCTTTCGCGAACGTGATTCCTCGCGTCCCTTTCGCGAAGCTTTCGCGGCCCTGTGATGCCCTGTGTTTTCCTTTTGCGCAGCAACTTGCAGGACCACACCTTTACTAACTTCTTTCATCGGGAATTTTAAACGCTGGGAGGCGTCCGCTATGCACATTTTGCTGGTGCAGAACTGCAGAACACGCATAACAGCAAGCGAGCTCGCACATGTCAAAGCAAATATTGAGGGTAAGCCACGCCCTTCGCATTCAGAGGATGTCGCGTTGTGGCAACGAGACGTTGGAAAGGCCTAGTGGTATCATACAAGTGATACTCTGCTCGGTGTTGCTCCTTGTGTTTAACAAATATGCAAGCAAATGTTGGCAGGAAAATAACAATTTCAAACGTCACCCAAGTGTGTTGACCCAGGCGTTTACTTGTCTCCGAAAACGCAGAACTCATTCGGGAAAACTCGAAAGGTGGGGTTGTTGCTTCAGTTGCTTGACTCACGGCGCCTTGCGGCACTATCCTTACCTCGTAGGTAGGACGGAGGATGTTTGTTTCGCTGCTTTCCCATTCTCCATTGCTTCCGGCTCACAACTACTGTGTTTGCTCACACCAAGATGCACAGACTGGGCAGGGATGAAACTGGCGAAACCACATTACTGCTTTGGGTGGCAAGTCATCCCCCTTTCCGAGGCCAAAACTTACATTCCAACCAGTCCCTGCTTGCGTGTCTCGCTTCCGGGCAAAGCAGAAAGCTCCTCACATCTGAAAACAGTGTCCAAAAGGACACTCAAGCAAAAATGCAGCCAAAACGAGTTCGAATCACACACTGAAGATGAGGGGTCCCATTATCATAGTTTCTGTTCAATCCAGAACGGTCAACTGTTTAAGTGATGCACTTGATGTTTGACATACTCGAATGGTGAATATAACTGGTCCTCCAGTAGAGAGGATAGAATAAGGGTACCCTTTTCTCTGTAGTCTATTTTAGTAGGGAACCCTCCCAACCAAAAAAGGGGAGAGAAGGGCACCGATCGCTGGGGGACCTAGATAAGGCAAAGGCCCGTTCCAAGAGCCAGATTCTGCGGGCGTCTCTGGGGCTGCGACATCGGGCCCGGGGTTAAAGTCCAGCAGGGTCACGCGGATCGTGTAGCTCTTGGCCCTGGCAGAAACCAAAGGCCCCACGTCCCCAAAGTTTGCACAAACCAAGCGGGGATACGGAGGGAGCGGGGAGGGGGGAGTCCCGGGGGGCGCCATTTCCCATATCAAACTTAGTCAAGGTGCATTTAGGGTGAACCCTCCCGTATCCCTGGTTCCCCCTGTATCCCGGTCTCCCTGAAAAGTAGAAGTTTCTTAGGATTTTTTGGGGCTCCAAGCCCCAACAAAAAGCTTCTCAGGATTTTTTTGGGCTCTAAGCCCGCGTCAGGGCCCGGTAGATGCCTCGGCCCCGAATTTGGGCCGACCTGCTAAGGGCCATGCGGAAGAAATGTCATCCTGGCTTGCTTGAAGGCTAAATCAAAGGGATACCTGTTGATTGTAGTAATCTAGACCCCAAATAGCTACAAACCGGTTGATGATTGTACACTCCCACTTTTAATAGCATCCCCCAAAAGAGTGTAGCGGCCATCAATCTCGCAAACATGCACTTGCACTTCAAATTGCATGCTCCCGAACGCCTGCCATCTAGCGCCTCAAAACGCTATTACACCAGTACCCCACATTGCACGCCTCTTAGCCCCCTTCCATCAATCTTGCGAATTGCGCCCGCACCGTCATTTGTATGCCCCCCAGCACCCGGCCATCTATTTCGCAAAAACGCGCCCGTACCGTAACCAGCGCCTCAAACGGCACCCCAAACAGCACCTTAAGCAGAACTTGCGCCCCAAACTTCAAGGTCCCTAGAATTACGCCATCATCTTGCAAACATATGCCCGGCGTTGCCAGCACCTCAAACAGCTCCCCAAACGACACACCCTAATAGCATCGGCACCAGCACCCCAAACTGCATGCCCCCTAGCTTCCAGCCGTCAATCTCGCAAATCATGTTCCCCTCTTTATTAGAAGTTAGAACCTCTATAGCTTTCATGCCCAACTAGGTTCCGAAAAGGGAGAAGCAACACAAAGGTGGCACAGGGAAACCAAATGAAACCACTCGAGAAACGTTGTTGCCCAAAATGAGGAAACGATTGGCCTAATCGGTAGTTACAACCCTCCCACAAAAAACTGATCTTGGTGGTACTGCGTACCTAGTGGTAGTTGGACACCACTGCATGGGAAACCAACCGCTACCCTCTGGCAGGATGAAGAATTCATCTTCAACAACCAAGACAACAAAGCAACACACCAGCAACAAAACGCTGGTATGAACCCATAGAGCCAAAGAAAAACCGCCGCAACATGCCACGCCACAAGTCTCCCCGGTTCTCCCCGCTGAAACCGAAACCGGGGACGCCTTGGAAGCGGCTGGTCCCCGAAGGGCAGGCCGCCCGCCAAGAAGGACACGTCGCGGCCTGGGAGAAAACTTGGCGTTCCTTCTGTGGACGAAATCCTCTTAGGCACCGCCTGGGTTGCCCTGGTAAATGGAAGCATGGACTAAAATCCGCGGTCTCCTGGTAGGTTTAATTTTGACCCATACCCATGTACCAACAAACAATGGTTTCAACCATAAATCTGAAACGGTGCAGGTTCCTATCATAAGTGTCCCTGTGGGGGAAATAGATGGGTTCCCTGGTAGATGATTAAACCACCAGGTAGACCAGGAACCGCCATTGATTTTTCAACCAAACCACCAAAAAAAGGACACCATGTCTTCTGTGGTTTGCTTGGCACGTCTGGTCTGTTGCTCTGGCTCCCTTTTCCCTGCCTCATAAACGTGGCTCGGAAAAATGGGATGGCAACTCCCATTGCTCGAGTGGTTGTCAAGGAAGGCGACGCGATGCCCTGCGCCGAGCTCCAGTTAAAGGTTTGCACCTTGGACAAGTCAAGGACGTGCAAAAACTCAAACGTGGGTTCTCAAGGGCAATCCCCGGCTTGTTTGTTGGTGTGTTTTGGATTTTTGTGTTTTTTTTTTTTTTTTGGCGTTTTGGTTCTTGGTTCTGGGCCGAGCTATGGTAGGAACCCAGCCCTAGGAAAGAACAAAAAAAGCGGCCGTGGGAAAAGCAAAAAACACCGGATCCCCTGTGGTAGCTGGGGTCGAAAAGGCACCAGCGCAGCACCGGCCCATGTTTCAAAGGATGTCAAAGCAGATCTCGGGCACTCTGTATCCATCCTGGCTCGATCACCTGCGGAATGGGCTTATGCCAAGCTCTTGTTGCCACCTTTGGAAGGCGCAAATTTGCCGCCGTCTCAGGAATCGCCCGTGCGCAAGCGTGGGCCAACACCTCACATTCCCTGAGACCTACGCCACTCTTGTAAACCGAATGCTGGCTCGAATGCTGGTTCACGGGCCTGCAGCCTCTTGCCCTGATTGCATGCAACGCTCCCTCCTATGAACCACAAGTTCTTGGTTTGATAGGCCGATACTCCTCATCTAAACTTGGTAGAACTATGATGATCACGTCAACTCTTATTTCTCCTTTGAGAGGCCCAGGTCCCTTGTCGGTGCGTGCAGGCAACATAATGAATGGATATCCTTCGGATGCTAGAAATCGCCTTCAAGCCATACACACCCAGTCAGACCTTAGGAAAACATGGGATAAATCCTCCCGCATTTCCCAAGTCAACTGTTAAAACATGCGAACAAAGACCGTAGCCCCATTTCACTCGCACCCGTGTGGCCACCAAGGTCACCAAAACAAAGCAAGCCACGAAGAAGGGCGGCGCGCCAAAGTGAAAGATGCTCTCTTACTTATCCTGAACTTTGCAGCATTTTGCCATGTCGTTTCATAGGCCATCAACACCCAACGCCAGTGGAAGCAGTTGCCTTGATATCTGACTCACCTTTGTTGCAGTTTGCTTGGATGTTAGGACTTTAGCTTTTTGCCAACTAATGGGTTTTCCATCAAACCACTAAACGTTTTCAACTTTTAGCTGGGGAGCAGAAAGCAAACAAGTGAACATAGCCTTCTGCTTTAGGGTTCGCGAGAAGTTGAACAGGTTTGTTCGATTCCTGGTTTGGCGAGCCGTTCTGTGTGACTGTGTCTCAATTCTAGTTGGACTTGCGAAACTTCCTTGCATAAATGACCATCAATATTGACCCTTTAGGCATGGAATTTCGGCCAGTGACAATCTCATGAAAGCGAAACGCCCTCACGTCAGCAACCAGCCCTCATTTTTTGGTGCGGAGTTTGGGTGGGCCTACAGCCCAAGTCCTCCCCAAACTAGAGATGGACTACCAAACATATGTGAATGCCTGAAAATACTTCCCCAAGAAACAAATATGGGGATCATAGCAACCGATATCAGAACTAATTGTCTGTCGCTCGCTTGGACTCTGAATCACATCTCTGATGTACATGTCGCGTTTGAGAAGCAACCCATCCAAAGTGCGCACTCCACTCCAGCTTGCGCGCCACCTGCATGAACCTGGTCCCAACGTCCGAACAGATCGCACTGCTTGCCAAAGGAAGAGGTCCCGAAAGAAACCAAACCAAACTATCTACACTTAGCTTCGATCAAATGTCTGGGTGCTGTGCGTCAAACACACCTCTCTGTTCGGTTGCACGCTTGCCTCTGTGGAGCAAAATCATGGGCAATTTAGTCCAGCTCTTCTCGAATCACCCCTAACCGTTTCCGTGTTTGTTTGCGGAGCGTGCACCCAATTCCGAGCCAGGGGCAAGTGACAAGAGCTGTCTCATGTGGACGCATCTCCAGCCTCAGCTAAGCAACAACTTCACAGACTAGCGAGCGAGGCGTGGTAGTGTCAAACCGTGCCACCATGAGCAACAACCCACTCAGCCAACCAACCAACCAACCAACCAACCAAGCAAACCAACCAACCAACCAACCAACCAACCAACCAACCACCCACCCACCAACCCACCAACCAACCCACCAACCCACCAACCCACCAACCCACCAACTTACCAACCCACCAACTTACCAACCCACCAACCCAACCCACCAACCCACCAACCCACCAACTTACCAACCCACCAGCCCACCAGCCCCCCACCAGCCCGCCAGCCCGCCAACCCGCCCGCCCACCCACCCACCCACGCACTCACTCACCCACCCACCTACCCACCCACCAACCAACCAACCAACAGCTCAAGGTGATCTGTCTGTTCATTGTCAAAACTGCTTGTGGGGGCCACTGAAATACCCGAATTCGCAATGTGGCTCTCCACCTTTCTTGTCAGCCACATAGCCATCTAGCCAATACGCTGTCAACCAGCTTGTGAGCCAGCTGGCTTGGCTCGCAAGCCACCGAGCCAATTAGCCAGTCAGACTGCCAGTCGGCGGGGGCCTCCTTGGCAGCAAGTCAGTGGGATGGTCAGCCGAGTTAGGTTTGCTGGTGAGCCAGTTAGCTAGTTGGTCGAACATTGGCGAGCGAGTTAGCCAGCTAGCTAGCATTCATGGGCTAGTTTTCTAGTCAGCTTGCTAACGAGCCAACCGTTTGGCTGGCTAGATAACTACTTAGTTTGTGAGCTCAATTCGGATATGTTGCCACTTGCTTTGTAGAATAGTGTTTTAGCTAGTTGCTTGGTAGTTAAAATGGCTGTGTACTTGTCTGGCTAGCACGCCGTGCAGTTAGTTAGCTAGAGCTAGCTAGTGAGCTGTTTCAGTGACAAGACGCTAAGCGGATTGGAAACACGCAAAACACTGCACACTGTTTACGGGCGATCTGCTGGAAAATAAAAGCGCGAAAGGCCGCGCCAGCAATTAGAGAAGCTGTGTTCGAGACATGCTGCCAGCACGGACAAACCCAAAGAAAAGTGTGCAAAGGCCTTTGCGAACGGACTGAATCAGAAGGAGAACAATAACACGTGCGGGTCGGTGGTAGCGCAAAGAGTTGCACGAGTGCTCTGACAAATGCGGCAAGCCAAACGCTGTTTACGGTCAGCCACATGAAAGCTCACTAAGGGTTTAGCCTGAGGGCTGCAACATGATGTTTGTATGTATGTAGGTAGGTAGGTATGTGTGTAATGTAACATAACGTAATATACAGTAAGGCGACGCAACGCAATGCAACATATGTGTGTAGTGTATATCTATACATAGATATTCTTCGCCCAACCAGTGTTCTCCAATACGACTCCTCTGAAGATACCCCTCGTCAACCATAGGTCAGCACAGCCACAAGGTCGACAGCTTGACTGACTTTGTATGCGTGACATCCATGCATCTGGGCGATTCAAATGCAGGACTGGTCAATCTATGGAAGAAGAATCCTAACGGGGAAACCATCAAAAATAGCCAAATTATTTCTTAACCAAAGAGAAGGATTGAGGATCACCTCCGAATCGGTCTGGTGGGGATCCGTGGCTGGTGATTGAAATTGCCCTTTTGCTCCTTCTGGTAAACTACAGTGGTAAACCCTTTTTTTCGGTGCTCAGGGAATGAGGGCATGATGGAGATTCCCTCACTGGAAACCAGACAAACCAGAATGGTTTCTAGATTCCATTTCTCATTCCCTGCCTATCGCACCGATCGCAAGGCCCAAATATGCTGCTGGTTGCCTCTTGAAACAGCCCGGTAAGACTGGCCAAGGCAAATCCCCGAGTTAGGAGCCGGGCACGGCGCATTCGAGAGCATCACAGACCTGCGGCCATGCCACTCTGGAGCAACCCACAGGTAAAAACATGAGCCAACACAGAGATTTAGTCATCAAGAACCCTAGAACCATCACAGCTTATTTGCCCAAATACATGTGTATATTATATATATATATATTCATACTAATCGCCTTGAAGTACTGACTGTTTTGTCTGATAGCAATACCAAAATTACACCAGCATAGACCCCAGATAGCACCCCAAAACGGAACCTGCAGCAGCACCCCAAACTGCATGCCCCCTAGCACCCTGCTGTCAATCTCGCAAAATGCCCGCGCCATCGCCCCGAACAGCAGTGCCACCCGCACAGTCACCAGCACCTCAAACAGCCCCAAACAGAATCCCAACACAGCACCTGCATCAGCACCCCAAACTGCACGCCATACCACCCTACCGTCAATCTTGCAAAACTGCGCCCGCAGCGTCACCTGCACGCATACCCCTGGCACCCGGCCATCGCCAATTAATAAAAATATTGACATTAATTCCCAATCATTCATTCTTTAATAGCAATAACCTGTAAATTAAGAAATCCTAACATAAAGATAATAAATTTGGAAAATAAATAGATGAATGGGACATAAAAGAGAACTCCCAACATGAAAAGATATTGGCCAACCGTTCAATCGCTTCTCTCGGAAACAGATAGGAAAGGGATATAAGCACTCAAACACCATCTCACCTACATTCCATCTCTTATTCCCATCCTTTCATCTCTCTTTCCTTTGTCCATCATATCACCGTCTATCACTTCTAATCTCCAGAATAGACAAACAAAGGCAAATGAAAGGACAAGGGATATATTCTCAGAGATCTATCATTGTAACCTCCAAAAATCCAGGAGTTAATATTGCCTATCTTTCAGGGTCTTCCACAGCATCCAACTAACCAGAATCTCGCAAAGATGCGCCCGCAACGTCACCAACACCTCAAACAGCACCCCAAACAGCACGCCACAACTGCACGCGCTCACCCTGCCATCAATCTTGCAAAAATGCGGCCGCACCGTCACAAGCACCACAAACAGCTCTCCAAACAGCGCACCCTAACAGCATCTGCGCCAGCACCCCAACTGCACGACCTCTAGCACCCAGCCGCCAATCTCGCAAATCACTTTCCCAGCTTGATACCCCTATAGCTTTCAGCTATCTGGGGAAAAATGGTGGAGACCTCAGGATGAACACGTATATCCCTCTCCGTGGCCCAATTTCGTGGCGGCTCCGCACGGGTGAGACTCGGACAGCACAACAAATTTGAGGACCCTCCCTGGATCTCGCTCCGAATTCCCAAGCCACGAGGTTTCAGCGGTTTAAGCTCTCGGGAGAAAGCACTGAAGCCCAGCATCCCTGGAGAATCTTGCGGAGTTTTCCGAGACAAAAAGCATTGCCGGGAGGAGTCCTGAGGCTTGGTTGGTTCTTGGCCCCTGCAAACGTTGAAGCACTTGAACGCATGTAGTCTGGAGCAGTGCCGGGTTCAAGATTCAGTCAGAAAAGCTTTCAAGCGCTCT